CTCCCCACCGCCGTGTCATTGGAGCAAGGAAGGACTTATCTTCACTCTGGATTCAATGAATGAAACTCTTCACTGACTCAACAGAGGAAGCGTCAAATTAATACTAATTTAGTTTATTGGAGTTTCATGGCGACATCAAACCTAAAAAGAAACATATAGGGTGAATAAGAATAGGCTAGATAGAGTTCAAGTTCATACCACTTAGCACTTTAAAGACAATTCCATATCCATGAATGTCTTCCTTTGTGAATGATGACATATCAAGCTTGGGAGAATTCTTGGAGAAAGGAATGGCGATGCTTTTTAGAAACTTGCAGTCTTCTGCAGTCAATAGCTCATCAAGAAACAGCTCCTTTTGGTCTGTGGTCAATACCCGTTCAAACTGTTGAAACATGTGTGGCTTGATGAATGATTTTAAAATTTGCATTACAAAACAAGCATTCCACAATTTTTTAAGATCTTCCAGCTTCACTTACCCATTGTAGATACTTGTTCACTCGCGCTTTACGTCGTTCTAAAGTCCTTTCCGCAAGCAGCACCTCTTTCTTAATGATGTCCAGTTTAACAATATCTTCGGCTGTCAAAGAATCTAGTCAACAAGATAATAACACTTAGACCACTAACAGTGCCTAGATGTCTTCATTAAAAGCACTGAACATTTGCAAGAGAGGAAACTTATGTCCAGGACTGAACGCAAGTATTGTTTAATTAGTACCTCGCATTTGGAAGGTTTATTTGACATTTTCATATTACTTCATATTTGACAAAACTGTGTGTGTTTTGGTGACTTTTTATCATTGAGGACACTTTGTGATGCCTATCATAAGGAATTTGAATCTCATTAGCGTTCAGTCCTGGACTGGACATATCTGGGAGAGGATGAAGAATGAGGAAGATAATCCCCCCTATGGGCCCCATTCCCAAGGCAATCCGCCTCGAGTTATTTTCACTCGTGGCACCCTTTTCTTTCACGAAAAATGTTATCAACTGCGATGTGTAAATGTTTTTGTGGAGGAAGAAAATACCGGTAAGACGCTCGGGTTGTCCACGTGGGTAATTGTTTTTTTTACAGGATTGACTATTTCTAGACCATCCTGGAATTTCTTAACTTGGATGGGATCTAATTACCCTTCATGCTCTCTTCCCGTTAGCAACGAGTTCGACAAAGAAACGCGAGAGAAAGAACAAAGAAATGAGACTTACAACCTAACAACATTGTTATACAAAATTATATCTAGTTGTTTTTGGTGGTATCATGTTCGAGTTCAGCAACGTAAGAAGCCACTAAGAAGGTTATGAATCCTGGTTGTGACGAGTTTCAGCCGACTGCGTTTTGTTCACGTTTTATATGTAAAGAGCAAGCCCTTAGATAAAAAACAAACTGATTGTCTCACAGCAGCAGGGACGCTCTGGCTTAGCCTATACGTCCGAACATATCCTCAAAAACTTGACTATGAGGTTTAGGAAAATTGCTCTATAAATGATCCTTGATTTCATATCGTTTTAAAATAAAAGGAACACGAAAGAGCTGTACATCCTCAGAAGAAGACATAGCTCTTTCAACCACGTTTCTATGGCAATTATACATCTGTTACTCTGACCTGACAAATCGCCATCTTCATCCGTATATATCTCTACTGGCAGTGAGTCGCCATTCTCAGCATCTTGCATTTTGGTTGCGTGGTCCAACTCCGCTGTAACAGTCTTACCCACGTACTCTCCTTTGCGGATTTCCAGTCGATTGACTTCTTTATTGTAGCCAACGCGGCAGCACTTGAAGAGAAATGGCGCCCGTACAGTACTTGATGCCACTTCTGGGGGAATGTACGTAACCTTGAAATGCGCTTTCAGATGTGGAATAAGAATTTGGACAAACGGCGGCATCTCCACCTAAAATGCAAGCGAGTGAAAAGGGCTTGTGACATTGATGATCACATTTTTGCGGGCCCACATGGTATCGAAATATATCGGTCATGGCAGGGCTACCGCCAAGCAAAAGTGGATGTTGGGTTAGAAAGTCAATCCCCCATAAAGGCACTGTTCACTATGCAGTCTCCTGCGGATAATGCGTNTTGTTTTTTACAGGATTGACTATTTCTAGCCCATCCTGGAGTTTCTTATCTGGGTTGTGATCTGATTACTCTTCATGCTCTCTTCCCATTAGCAACGAGTTCGACAAAGTAACGCGAGAGCAAGAACAGAGGTAATGCTAGCTATATTTGAGGAAGATGAAAATACCTGTAAAGCCTACAAAGCAATTGCCTTCGCTCTTAGCTTACTCTATCAAAACGTTCAAAAAGAAATAACCCTCAGAAGTTTACTGAGCCCATTATTTTATTGAGGAAATGAGAAAAAACTGTCATTAAAGTCAGAAGGCAGTTCTTTAATCTAAGTTTCTATGGCAATTATACATTTGTTATTCTGACCTGACAAATCGCCATCTTCATCCGTATATATCTCTACTGGCAGTGAGTCGCCGTACTCAGAATCTTGCATTTTGGTTGAGTGGTCCAAATCCGCTGTAACAGTCTTACCCACGTACTCTCCTTTGCGGATTTCCAGTCGATTGACTTCTTTATTGTAGCCAACGCGGCAGCACTTGAAGAGAAATGGCGCCCGTACAGTTCTTGATGCCACTTCTGGGGGAATGTACGTCCCCTTACAATGCGCTTTCAGATGTGGTAGTAGTATCTGGACAAACGGCGGCATCTCAACCTATAATGCAAGCGAGTGAAAAGCGCTTGTTACAATAATGGTAGTTTTGCTGCAATGTAAGAGAAGATGAAGGGTTTAGAGAGTCAATCCTTATTTCCAATGTAGTCACTGTCAAGTTATTTTTAGACTTGGTACCCAGTTCTTCCGCAGATACAGTTTTTAGAGGTACGTTTTGAAGATGCTTTCATGGAGAATGAAAATAAGGGCTGTCCACGAGAGTAAGATAAGCTTTTTTGAAGGGCACATTTATTGGCACTCTCATATCCTTATACCAATGGCTCTCTCTGCCAAAGAAGCTAATGAAACATTACTTGGACGAAAACAATCCAAACTGCAATCTGATTTTTGCACCGCGCCAAAAATGAAGATACAAACAAAGTATTTAAAGGAGGTATGGGAACCCAAAAAATACAAACCAGAAGAGCAACTTTGCTAATACAATTTTTAGAATTCGAAACACAACATATGTTGGACAAAATTAATACCTGACGCTTTCTTTTCCCTCTAAGCACAAATTTATCGCTGTAAATCACAGACGTTGCAAGAAGTAGCTCTTGATCCTCAAAATCCTTCATTCTTTTGGCATCCAGTTCTGCATTAGCCAGTACAGTGCGGAGATCTGGGTCTGAAATGTAGTCCTGACTTAAGTTGCCAAGCTTCAGGACTCCCTGCTCATCACTTGATTTGAACGTTCCCTCGGT